AGAAAAAATCTTCTTCCCCCTGCTGGTAGAGATCGAACTTACACTGGATGCTGGAGGCGTTGCTATGACAACAAGTGCCCAGCACCTGGCAAGAAATCTCCGTCCAAGCTGCACCTGATCCTGTTCTGGCTGCGACAAGCTAGATCAAGCAATGACATCCGCGACTGACAGCCTAGAATCTCTCCGACAACAAATAAACTCTCTCGCCAAGATTGTGCTTCACAACAAAAGAACATTGGACTTGATAACTGCTAAACATGAACATGGGAAGGGTATTGGAAAAAAATGCTGTTTCTTTGTAAATGAATCAAATATTGTTGAAACCGATGTTAACACTCTCAAAAAAAACGTTGTAATGATCCATTTTCAAAATTTCAACCCACCTAACAATTAGGTTGGTTTAGTAACCCTTGTTGGTCCCCCAGTAATACTGTATATTATTTTGATACTTGCTCACTGTTTTATAAGATTTCTTTTCTGACAAGACTGTTTTTAAGATTTCCTTGCTGACAAATTACTGCCATTTGCTAAAATCACTACAAAACAGGTCATGGTCAATTATCAGACTTTGGATTCTCCCGAGATGAGATGAGTTGGCCCTTAGGGCTGGTGATGGCACTTCTCCATTTTTAAATCAAAGAAGGGGAGATGTTGGGGACCCCTGTTGTGTAAAGTAGCAGTATCTCCATGTCTGGGTGCCTTCCTACTCTCTTCCTGACTCATCTTTGAAGTAGCCACCACAGAAATATGGCCTCTGGCTCTGAAACTGCCAGGTTTTCCTGTGTGATAATCAGGCAATGTCTGACAACCTGGCAGAAGCCCACCACTACATGTAAATGGAGCATCCTACAAAGCAAGGCTTTTGCTACTGTATCCACACTATAAATATCCTGGTTTCCCCCTAATTGGTTTCCCCTAATTAATCGGAGCTGAATCACTAAGACCTGGAGCTGAGCTGAGTCACTGAATAAAGAAGTGGTACCACTGAGTCTGACTGAGCTGAGTACTGTGTCTTACTGCCTATGATCCAGTCTTCCCGGAGAGGGCTGTCTCTTTGTAAACCACGACTCACGGAGACCCTGCTTTTGCCGTCCCGCACCTCCCCTCGTGACCTGGCAGCTGACGGATCTCGAACCCAGAGGGAGTGCCCAGTAGATTGGGACGGAACCTGCCCAGGCGGAGCCTCAGCAACGCGGTGCGTGGGACCCGCCAGCGGTGCGGGAGAGACAGGCACCAGCCAGCAGCTGGCGTTCCGCAAAACCCGCGCACCCATATTTATGGATTTGATCAAAACACCTTACATACATGTATGAAATTCTCAATAAAGTTTTTGTAAAAGTTAAAAAAAAAACTTGGATTCTATTACACTTAGCACAGTGTCATTTCTTTGCAAAACCTTCTTTCATGACCTTCCTCAGAGGCTGTTCTGATTAGGATACAGTGATTTGAGTCAGTGTTTGATCTGAGCCATCCTTCCAGTTCTGGCTGGGTGAGGGGATGGGATACCTGGCTGACTGGCTAGATCGCTCCATTCCCTGGTGACAAGCTAAAAGGGAATAAAAGCTTATTCGAGTTTGCTAAACCTCAGCCACTTTTCTGGAGAGAGTTTCCAGTCTTGCTTCTGCAGAGTATGTTTCGGGCTCAAAATTATCTGTGAGACCTCTGCCTTCTCCTGACCATCATTTCTTAAGAAATTATTTTGGCAAACCAAGGGCATCCATAAATAGAAAATCTGTATTATCGTATGGAAAGTTTCTGGTATCATATATAATTACATCTTCAATGAGTAGTTTCAAAACCACAAGATAATGAATTCAGAAAAATATAAACCTCTTTTGAAGACTACGGGATTTTGTGAATATTCATCAGGGATAGTAGGACCAGGGAAAAATAGGAAAAATTAGTCAGATAAAAGTGAAATTGTGTAATAAATAATGAAAAGCTAATTATGTACATATGCATTTATCTATTTGAACTTAAGACTGTGGATATGTATTTATGCATACACGAAATACTTTTAAAGGGTCAACACTATTGGAAAGCTTTTTTTATCTATGATTTCATAAGTTTTGTTTCAAGTTAAAGCATTGTAGAGAAGTGAAGGAGTTGGAAATAAAAAATAAATGATATACTTCTGAGGTGGGCACACAAAACTCCCAGGCATATGGGACATAAAGCGTCTGTGCTCTCACTGCCCTTCCACTTCTTTCTTGGACTGGTTTGGTTTTACTCCATCCACTGTTAGTCTCCAGTTCTTCCCCATAAAGTTTTCTAATGTTCCAGTTACCAATTTTAAGACCTTTGCTTTGTTTGTTCTTCTAAAGGGTTTGCAATCAGCAGGAACTTGCAGGTCAGTAACCTGGACACTAAGTGTCCAATGCTGTTTTTGGAGTCATATTTATTAAATTAAACAAAAGTCATATTTCACTAAAGGAGTGTAGCTTAAAATATACTACAATATGCCTCTTGCTTGCCACCCATATTGTAAACAATATATGGGGGTGGTCTTAGGCTTCTGTTCCTCCTCCTGTTTGTCTATCAAGACCATATTAAAAACACTGTCCCCTTACGTAGATGTTGTGTCTGTCATGAACAGCCTGGAACAATGATGGTCTTTGTCTTCATTTCCTGATAAGGATCCTGTTACTGAGATATTTAATTCCCATGCCACCATCATAACTGTTGTATCAATATATGGAGAGCACTTCTACGTTGGTGGAATGGAAAGACAAAACAAGAAAAAGGAAACGCCTTCCATTAAGAGAAGATTTGGGAGGATAACAGTGGAACAGATTCTCTAAATCAATCCACGGTGCAGGGAATAATCAGGAAATAATTGTTTCCTCTTCTTCAGGAAATGCACACTAAAATGCTAATTAACCTTTGGGCACAACGATTCAACTTCCTGCCTTTGCAATGATCATCTTTACCATCAGCACTGATTAGCTCCTATGATGCTGGGGCATTATGTGAAGATCTTGCAACTTGATACAATAGTGCAGTATATTTAGAGGTAGGAAAAATAATCAGGTGTGAACCCTGATTACCATTCCTGTTTCCTTTTAGAAGTCTCTATTTACACCAAGAGTAGCATGGTGGATGGAGCAGACAGGGTCACGGTGGTCACCAGACCAGAAGGACACTGTTGAAGGATGTAACATTCTTAACACAGTAATGCTATGAAACAGTGCTGCATACTTCCAGCAGGGTGGTGACTGCATGAGGCTGCTCAAAGTTATCATTGCTGCTGTCAAAGCTATTATTACTGTGTAACTCAGCATATACGCCTTTGAAGCAACAGCCCTTTAATTTCATGCTGACAAGCAAGCAATTGTCTATATCATCTTCAAGACACATGAAAGAGGATTAAAGTATTTCCTCCATTTCTAATTTCTAAGCAATCCCCAAACAGAAGGATTACATTTGGGAAATCTTAAAGACAAAAGCTGTTCTGTAGATGAAAATGCAGCTTGACAAGCCAGTACAACCTCCTGAACATTTCTACAACAAAAAATTTAGCCCAGTCATCAGATATGTAAGAGCAACATTTTCATTGCAAAGTGATCAGAGCTTAATGGAGTCCTTTTTGAGTAAATTAGAACAAGAAGTGAGAAAGATCATGACCCTTGCATTTAATTAAACTTCTTCAAGTTGTTACTTCTATAGGTAGATTAACAAAGACCATGTTAACACACTTCTTAATGTGTGAACATATGTACTCAGTCATACAGAAGTTACTGCATTTTGAAGAAAGAGCAGTATTCGTTCTAAGTCGACTTTAATTCTCCCCAAAATAAGTGAGATAAGAATATAAACGCAAAGGCTCTGGCTTCACCAGACAGAGTAAGATATTAAGTGGGGAACTTTGTGCAAACTACCTAGGATGTCTAAATATCAGTTTCTCCTGCTGAATAATAGCTAAGAATAGTGCTTAACTGGGAGGATTAGTGAAGTGACTAAAGATAATAGTTCTTCCTTGTGCCCAGCTCAAAATAAGTGGCCAATTAATATCAACTTCATTATATCCAAATTATACAGAAATAAATGACATACTAGTAAAATTGTTTCACTATAATGCCATTAATTATTAATTTCTCTTCATCTTAATAGTGCATTGCCTTCAGAACTAATCAACAAAAATAATACAAATGGCAACTTATTGGATAATTAATAAGGAATCAACATATAAGAATTGAAAATGCAGTTATTAATATTAACTCATTTCAAAGATATCTTCCATTGTCACAGGGAGAGTTCCACAATTGTTTTACAACTTGTCAGTATGATGGTTTAGTTTAGTGTAACCAAGTTCTTTTTTCTTAATATTTGGAACGCATACTCATTTTCCTTCTCAATTTTTATGTAGAAATATAAATTTAAAATATTAAATTTTTTATCATCTGGAACTATTAAGTTTAAATTATGAAATTTAATATTTGCCATATTGTTAAGTTTCCATTTGCTTAAAGAAGAAAAATACAGGCGAATGATCTTGAGCATAAATTTTTTTGTCAGTGTTGGAAGGAGAGACACAGTAAAAGAATAGCTCATCTTTAGGAAAACAGCAAAAGGCAAAAACGGATCATCAGGAACAGAAACAACACTGCACAGTGGGGCTGAACTCTTAAGGCATAATTGATACTGCCGGTTTGAAAATGGAACGAAACCAAGACATTATAATGATAGTCGTTTGGTGCTAAGGATGACTCCTTTAACAATGGAACACAGTCGAATCCCAGTGTGATCATTACAGGCTATTTTCCTTGTTCGTGTTCCCAAGGGAAATGCCTAGAAGAGGCAATGATAATTTTAAATTGCTCATTCTCATTTGCAATTTTTTCTTTATCTTTTTTTTTTTGTTAATGGGTGAGAGGGCTTTCTTAGAAAATATTCTTTTCCCACGCTGCTAGAGGAATGGCTGGGGAAGCAGGGTTGTGAGTTGATAGGGAGCAATAGAGAACTCAGTACTGGATGATTAGGGCAACGACAAAGTAAATTACCTGTGGGCATCTGCTCCATGTTCCCCACTCAGACATGACACACTCATTGGGACACAGGAGGGAACAGGCCTGGGTTTCTGGGGGAGAGTCATCCTGGTTACACAGGCTCCTGTCCACTGCTCCTCCTTCACTGTCAGCAGCATTTACACACCTGTTAGGCAAGACCACAGATAGTGTGATTGCTTTAAGTGGTGAAAAGTAATTTAAAACAGTAATAGTACACCATAGTTACTGATTCTCAAAGATAGTTAAATTTAAAATAAGGCCAGCAGAGAAACAAGAAAAAGCCCCTCATTTTCCTCATCCAGTGGGATTTTATTGACTGATAACTCAGTACAGAACACTTGATGCAACAAGTGAAAGAAATGTGGAAAGGTTATGGACATGGCTGTCTTTGTATGGCTCCAATTCTCTAGAGACCTAAAGTAGACCTACCCATGTCCAGCGTTGAGTGGATATTCTTTCAATTGTTAAATATTTTGAAAGTTTTCCTTCTCCAAATCACTAATATATTTGCAATAGCTAGAGTCTTCTTCTTTCTGTGGTTCTAGTAAACCTTTCTCAAAGTTCCCAAACATCCCTCATCTTTAATACAAGTATTTTAGACCATAGAAAAATAATGTGACAATAATCAATCATTCTTACAGGCATTTGGCTTTTACATATCAACATGGAATGTGGCCATTATAGCCAACAGGCAACATGTAAGCATTGCCACAACTCACCAAATTGCAGGTGAACACCTTATACCTGCACATACTACACAGCGTCAGGCTTGGAGATAAGCACACATGATAACAACACTTATCACGTTCTGGTTATGCATGATGGAGATTCAATCCTATTTGAACGTCAGTGTTCTGCCCCAAATGTTTTAAGTAAAATATACAGACAACATCAAGGCTTTGAAAGCCTGATGATCTGTAATTCTCACTCTGCTAGTTGGATCATACAGTGTTTCAAAACTGGTTGACAGTGTCTACCCTACAATTAAATAGAAATATGTATAAATGCACATTAAACCAACTCCAAGCTGGAAATGTTTACAGCAGCACTGTTCAATATCCAACCAAACTATAAATAGTTCAATTCTTCAGTATTGTATAATAGATATATACATTGTATTAAATATAGTTAAATCCCATAAAGAATAAAAATATATGGACTATTGGTACATGGAAAAGCATGGAATATGTTGTTAAACAAAGGAAGTCACATGGAAGTGTCTATACTCTATGATGATTCCTTTCATATAAAGGTTTAATAATAGGCACTACCAATCTGTGGTGTCAGAACAGTAGTTACCTTAGGAGAAATTGTTAGTGACTAACTTAGGTAATCAGAAATAATTTTTTTACTCCAGGCTTTGCTCTATAAGTATATTGGTGTTATGACAACTCACCTAGACATATTTCCATGTCGTTCATGGAAATTCACCTATACTTGTATCTCAGAAGTTTTTTTTAAATTTTTTCCAAAAATATTAAATATGGGACTGTAGAGATGGCTCAGTGGTTAAGAGCACTGACTGCTGTTACAGAGGACCTGGTTTCTATTCCCAGCACCCACATGGCAGCTAACAACCATCCATAACTTCAGTTCCAGGGAAATCTGACACCCCCCTCTGACCTCTGTGGACATGGTATGACACTAATGCACTTACATACATGCTGGCAATACACTCATATACATAAAATAAAAATAATAAATAAAATACTAAGAAAATAGACACTTGCTATGGGCCAGTCTTTTCTGATAGGTGTTAGAATTTTTTTTATTAGTACTGATACTTTTAGTAATTTATTTTTAAATTTTTTATTCAATTATTTTTATTTTGGTATGAGTGGTTTGTGTGCATGTTATATGTGCACCTATGTGTGTGATGCCCTTGGAGGCCAGAAGAGGGCATCAGTTCCTCTGGAGTTGGAGTTACAGATGGTTGTTAGCTGCCATGTGGATTTTGGGAGCTGAGCCATGGTCCTCTACAAGAGCAGCCAGTGCTCTTAACTGATGAGCCTTCTCTCTAGCCCCAATCATTTAGTAATTTTTTTCAATCAAGGTCTCATGTAGCCTGGGGTGGTCTTGAACTTTTAAGCATCCTGGTTCTGCCTCTCAAGTGTGGAGACAGGCTTGACCCATCATGCCTGGCCCCTCTTTTCTCCTTGCGGTTAATTGAATTTGAGGGCTGACTGTGTATTAGGTTCTTGCCTGGGTACTTAAGTACAAAACTGGCAGAAGAACAGATATAGTTACTGTATTTGTGGGTGTTTTGTTCTAGTGATAACAATAAACATGAAACTAAAAATGACAATTGCTATGCAGAATGGTGGCCCACCTATGGCCCGGGACTCTGGAGTCTGATAACTAGATTTTGAGTTTAAGGCCATTTGAGGCCAGCCTGGGCTAGAAAGACCAGATGCGATTGCATCTTTTACGTACACATTACAAATAGAAAAAAAAACAAAAAAAAAAACAAAACAGGGAGGTGCAGATAGGGGAGGGAATCTAAATAACATCAAACTATTTTTTTTTCTTTCAGTCCCATAGAGCCAATGAATTTTATCCACAGACTTAGGATCTACGGATTACAAGTTAATGATGTCTTTTTTTCCTCCATTGGGACAGAATGTTGTAATGTAACCCTGGCTGGCCTTAAACTCATCTGTGATCCTCCTGCCTCTCCTCCTGAGTGCTAAGATTACAGGCATGTGTCACCATACATGGCTTGGCAAACTCCATTCTAAAGTACTTTACTTGCTTATGTTTAGGCTTACTAATTTCACAGTAACACTCTTGATTTTTTTTTTTTTTTTTTTTTTTTAGCAAAATGGTTAAATCATTATGCAATGTATTTTATTATTCAAGATTCCCTGAATAAAGAAACTGAGTTTGATATTTTAGTATTAAAAGAAATTTTGCCTCTTCAAAATAAGAATGATGTGTAATGGTACCCATTATGTTTTACTCACATTAATTTTTTTGTTTATAATAAATGTATTAATTTGCTAACCCCCAAGAAATTTACATTTAGTCTATCAAAAGGTGATAAAAATAGAACCACTGTAAATAGGAGGTTAGCAGAGCCTGGCAGGTAGGGAGGAGGAGTAAGGTTTCTGTCATAGGGAGGCCCAGTCAGAATCATCCAGAGATTTCCATCTCTTCTGTGGCAGGAGCCAACAGGGAAATGGGAGTCCACAGAATGACTTCAATGTTTTTTCCTGGACAAACTGGAAAAACTAGATATTGCTTTCTTCCTTGATGCGCACACTGAACGGATGGTTGTTTATTTTGGATAATGATAGCCAGCGGACATTTAAATTAGTTTCTGTTTGCTTTCAAAATGCACATAAGCAGTAATAAAGGAATTTGTTACCAAACCGTTATTAATAATGATGATGATAACAATCACATTCTATTGGAGCCATGTCTTCCTCTTTCTCATCTCCTTTCTTTGTGAACAAATTGTGCTCACAGTAGTGGGGTTTGGAAAGGCCTATCTTCCAAGTACAAAGAACTTGGTAGCAGACATTCGCAACAAATTCAGTGGTTTATGCTGAATACTAAGCCTGAATTTACGTTACAGGAACCTTACACATAAGTAGTACTAAGTGTCTAGGGACAGGAGGATAAAAGTGGGTCAAAACACTGGAGGACTTATGGAAAGTGTGTTTAAGGGGTATCTAGATCCTCATATCCTGTCCTGTAATCCATATAATCTGGTGATTCTTTCTCTACTCTCCCTGCAGGTAATTGAAGGTCTACTGTCCGGAGAGGACACAGGATCAATGTAGTAGAGAACTCTTGGTACAACGAAGGGCAACAACCTTAAACAGAAAGTTCAGTAGACGTCTACGTACTCCGAAAACTCTCACCACTAACTTAGTGGCGTAAACAATAAAAAATTATCATCTTACAGCTGGGGAGCAGATAGCCAACACAGGTTTCATTGGGCTAGCACCCATATGCAGGTGTTGGCAGAGGTCCATTCCTAGGGGAGAATCTGTTTCCTTGATTTTTCAGGCTTAAGAGGCCACATTCATTCCTTGGGTGGCCCTTTTCTCCAAAGTCAGGAGCCTTGAACTTCTCTGTGCCTTCTTTTTGTAGTCATGTTTTCCTCCTCATCTCCTCTACATTCTTTTTTTAAAAAAAATTTTATTTTTATTTTATGTGTACGTGTGTATTGCCTGCATGTAGGTAAGTGCACCCGTGTAGTGCAATGCCCATGGAGGTCAGAAGAGGCTGTCGGATCCCTTGGGATTGGAGTTACGACATGTGGGTGCTGGGATTCAAACCCGGGTCTTCTGCAAGAACAACCAGTGTTCTTAACCACTGAGCCACCTCTCCAGCCCCTCCTCTACATTCTTAAGGTCCTTGTGAATAGCCTGCCAAACCAGACAGCTTAGGAAGGTTGCCCATTGCAAGGTCTTTACCTTAATCATGCCTGACAACTCTCCTTTTCCTAAGGTGTCATATCAGATTTGAGGAATTAGGATGTAGACATCTTTGGGGGCCATCATTCTTTTGCTACAATAGACTTCTTTTCACTGAGTTCCCAGAATACTGGCCATTAGAATTATCTATTTCATTTGTGATTGAAGAAAAAGTGTTTTGGGGACTCTGAGCAATCCAAAAGTAAAAATTTAAAAAAGGCTGAAGTGGAAGGTGTTCCCAGATGAAAATGCAGTAACCCACTACACATCCTGCGTCATCAATTTCCTTGTCATCGGTTTTGCTCATCACCCTTCAGCCATCATGTACTTTATTTCTGCTCAAATTTATTGCTAAACTGCTTAAGGCAATTTCTGTACTTGCTGTCAACACTTGCTGCACTCCTCTCCTCTCTGTGGCTAGTTCTTGAATGCACTTTCACTGTGTTTATACCGCCATTGCAGAGAACTCTCCTATCAAAATCATCAAGAGACTCCCCACTGCCAAGCTCAGGGGTCAGCGCCTATCTCCCTGAACACAGTGGCATCTGAAGCAATGATGACTGTATCTTTCTCTGAAACCCTCTTGCTTGCCTTCTCATCTTCTTTGTTTCCTTATTCCCCTGAGCTTTTCTCAGACTCATTTTTAGCAGCAGTCTCTTTGAATCTTTCTAGTCTATAAATGTTAGGGTTACCTGGAGCTCAAAATTTTATCAATATATACCGAATTTATAAGCTAATGGCAGCAAAATTTATAACCTTCATCCATCCTCCGAATACCAGCCTATAATAGCTCAGTTGGAAAGTTAATATCATATCTCAAATTTAATATGTTTGAAAGCTAACTTGTTTTCCTGTCAATCCTGACTCTAACATTTCCCGACTCAACAAATGTGGCCATTATAATTGCTCAGGCCATAGACGCTAACAATCATCTGATACTTCTTTCTCTCCCACTCCACATTCATTTTATTATCATATCCTATGTTCTGTATCTTTGAAATTTATTCTAAACTTGACATTTTCATCATCTCCAGATTCTACAGAATTCAAACAATAACCTTTCTCACCTGGAATTGTGTAATGGCCTTAATCCTATATCTTTGCTTCTAAATTTCCATACCCACCCAAACCTCTCTATGCCACACCCAAGAAGGTTTCTTTCAAATGTAAAAGAATCATGACCTTCCTTTTACCCCAAACTTTCCATAGCTTCATTGTTTAATGTTGCAGTTAGAATAATATCCTGTCTTTATCTTCCTTCAGAATGCAGGATGTGGTTTGCAAAGCAATGCCAGTCAGGTGGGGCATCTGGTAGTTCTACCATCAAACCAGGAGAGATCTTGTTTTAAATGTTCTTTCCTTTTGGAAGTCTATCTCCACAGACCTTCATGGTCATGTAGGTCTCTGACTTTATTTGGTCTCAGATTTTACTTTGCTGACCAACTTCTCTAAGATAGGACCCCTATGGCTCCAACTTCATTTCAATTTTCTTGTCATTTCAATGCAGAATCATCTCAGTATGCATTAGTTTACATGCTTATTTTTCTGTTTTTTCCTTTGAGAGAAACATAGCTTTTTTTTTTTTTCTCACTATTTTACTTCTTATATTCAGAACAGTATTTGGAACATAGAAAGCAAATAATCATAAATGTGGCTTGATCTGAAAATGATCACAATCATGATTGGAGTCATGAAGACAGTTTCCAGTGTTGAGGTTTTAAGGAAGGGAAGAGATAAACTGCTTCATTCATGACAACAAGATCTTATTGAGGTCAATAATAGTTTGGAATTCAAGGTGCATGGAGGATTTGCTTCATATACTTATATGCGGACACATACACGAAGCACAGTATTTAGTGAACATGTACTGATTGGCTAAATCGCAAGAAGAAACACCACAGAGAGGGCGACACAAACAATACACATGCACTTTCACCTAGTTCCAAAAGTTAGACATCTGAGGTCAAACTGTTGAATTGTTGGGGGGTTGGTAGGTTGCTTTCTTCTACCCTGTGTCTTCATATGTGGCTGTATCCTAATCTCTCTTTCTGTCTCTGTCTCTCTCTGTCTCTGTCTCTCTCTGTCTCTCTGTCTCTCTGTCTCTGTCTCTCTCTCTCTCTCTCTCTCTCTCTCTCTGTATTTAGTGGCAGGGGGTCATGGTAGCCCAGGATGACCTCAAACTTCTGATCCTCCTACCTCTATCTCCTGTGAGTCACCATGCCCAGCATCCTAATCTCTTCACATACAGACACCAGTCAGATGGGATTAGACAGGTGTCATTGACTCATTTTGCCGTAAGTACCCTATCTTGCTTATCACCAATACGTTATGAGGTGCTATTTAGAGGCAGGGGGTCATGGTAGCCCAGGATGACCTCAAACTTCTGATCCTCCTACCTCTATCTCCTGTGAGTCACCATGCCCAGCATCCTAATCTCTTCACATACAGACACCAGTCAGATGGGATTAGACAGGTGTCATTGACTCATTTTGCCGTAAGTACCCTATCTTGCTTATCACCAATACGTTATGAGGTGCTAGGGGTTAGAACTCTGACACATGGATTTGTGGAGGGGCACATTAGTGCATCACAGAGGATCATGTGGTGTTCTTTCTACTGTATCAGGTGGCACATATAAGAACGGAAGGCATGGCTAAGAGGACCTCAGTGTTTTTTCCTCCACCAGTGTTACAGTTCCCTCAGCAGTAGTTCATTTTTTTTTAAGTGTTCTATCTTTCCTGAGAGTCTCCTCTAAAATTGCTAAGAGTCCTGAACAGGAAGAAAGTGCCTGGTGAGGCCTCAGCTCATTTGCATATTACTTTATAAACCTGCTCAGTGAGACTAAGGCACAGGGCAGAGGTATTGAGGAGGAAATGGTAAAAGCCTGAAGTTTGCTAGAACCTGAGCCTAAGAGTCTCTAAAGCAAAGGACACGGGCATAAGGAAAGGAAGGTGAATTGTTGGCCACCTGCTTGGGCTGCTGATGGCAGGTACCTTTATAATTCTACCACCAGCTGCTGCTTCCACGATGCTTACCTGAAGTTTTTGAAGCCTTGAAACTGCCAAAAGTGGCAGGTATATAGTGGATTATTGACAATGGAATGGCCCTAACACCACGATCAACATATGTAAGTAGGATGTGCCTTGGCAACAAGCTTCCAGACAACAGTAACCTCAACAGGCCGCTATCCGACTCAGGCGCTACCTAAATCTGCTATGTAATTGAATAGTTGACAACACTAGATTTTCTTCTTATTTCACATACTGAATATTATGTAGCAATATTTTAACTTTTGCTTGTCCAGTCTTTAATGTCTATTGCTATTATCCTTTGTTGAGAAGGAAATGTTTCCTTTTATGTCCCAAGTTATTTCTGAATACCCAAACTTGATAAACTTAGACCAAGTGTATGCCTTTGGGTCCACTGTTGAATTACCGAATAAAATCTTCCATGATGCTCCCTCAGTAAGTGACCTAGTATTCATAATTATTTTAGAGATGCATTTTTGTATTAAAATATATAGCTACTATTTATAGAGTCCCCTCAAATTTTAATGCCCAAAGCTAACTATGGAAGATGCCAATCAGTCTTTCCAGTGTCATGATTGGCATCGCCAAACAGGTTAATGACCATCAAGTATGCAAACTATAGGGCAATCAAGAGAAATGGCAACACAGTGTCTGATTAACACAGTTAGTAGTAGTGGCGGGGAGTCAATGGAGGGACATTGACCTGTTCCATACAGTGAACTGTCCACAGCAGGGATGAAGGAATAGTAAACCCTGTGGGTAGGTGATGGAGGATTGCTATTGCACACGTGGTAGGATGGGTATACATGCTTCCATGGATTCTTGAAGATACACAAAAGTCAGAGTATATGGTATGGATGTCGTCATGTATTTGGACAGCAACACTGGTGTTTTTATGGAAAGCATGAATGCTCCATCACTCCATTTTCACACACCTGATTCTTCTAGATTGTGTTCCTCTTCCACAGCGTGGAGACCTCAGCTCATTGTTGATTTTGCATGAAGACCAGTGTTCTACAACCCAGGAATATTGATTGCATTCACTGTAACAAGGGATTGCCTCATGAACCTGTCAAGAGCAGGAAAGAAAAAAATTATTTGGAACTATCCAAGTTATAGAAAAATAGCCTATCCTCTAATAATGCCTGCTGAACATAACCCAAGGAACTACACTGTGGCTCAAATAGCCAAATTACATTCCCCTAAAGCGAAATATATTTGAGTTGCCTGAAGAAGCATACAAGGACAGTTGTCTAAAGTAAGATGGTGCGCCTTCAAGATGAGAACAAAGGACAGCTGTTTCCCAGCACCAGGAGCAGAAATTCCATTATCATTTCACTTTTTCCAAGAGCTTGCTCATATCTGTTAGACGCCAGTTCTCAATTACTCAGTATATTGTATTCTCAGATGTACTTTAACAAGTCAATTGAAGCAAATACATATAAGGAAAATTTACTCTTGAATATGAGTTTTTAGAATGCATAAGCAAAGTGGTATCATTTGCACCAAAAATTTCTTTTTATGTCTCTAAATGATCAGTGCTAACAGGCAATCATTCAGCCTCCTGGGCATTGTGGCCTCTTATGAATGTAGGTATTTGTAGGATGTTTTCAGAGCATAGCTAAAATGAATATGTGCATGCACACACACACACACACGCACTCACACATCACTCTACAAGACAAACACTGCAAACTCTTCCTTGTTAGCATGCTTCCTAAGGATATTTACAATTTTATAATTAAAAAATAAAACAGCATGCACACTACATGAATTCTTCTACTTTTGCTAAGCATTGCTTGTAGTGATGCTCTCCTGACTTTGTACCACAGTGGGCAGCCAGCTGAGGTCTCTTTGAGGCCACATTGAATACTCATTACTCCTCATCACAGAGTATACGCTTCTTCCAGTGTAATAGACATAAAAAGAAACCTCCCCCTTTGCCCCCTACTCACAAAGATGACTCTGTTAGAAGTAGAGTGAAAAAGAGTGACTCAGGCTCTTACCCAAATGGTTAATTAATGTTTTTTTCTTTTAAAGCAAAATTTAAATACCAGTGTCTTCCTCCACCTTCCTTTCTAATTCTATAAAATTGTAAAAGGAGACTAGGCAGAGCCATCTAAACAGAACCATCTCCTGTAAGTTCCCACTAAATGCAAAGCAAAGCACGGGGGTAATGGGATAATCAGAGCAAGATTGGAGCTTTGTCAGCACTTTCATTGGAAATCACATGAGAGGACGTGATTGGAAATACCACTTCTTAGAAATCACAAATAATGTCAGAAACTATTTTTAACCATGAGGTTCTATTTAGCCGTCACATAAAGCTCACAAGGAAATGAGAAACCACAAGGTGAAGAGTATGTGAGGGCAAATCACAGGAGATGGGAAGACAGAGGAGGAAATGGGGACGAGGAAAGAAGCATTGATTAGAGAACTGTCTTCCATGCTATGCATGCTGATGAGAAGCACTGGCAGGGTCAGAAGTCCTTCCTAAGAGAATAAGGGGGTGCCAACTTACAGCTGAGGGGAGTCTGCTCCATTCTCATAGCATGGTCTAGGGAAGAGAAGACTCTACAAAAATAAAAAAGCATGATTCCATCGAACTGATACTGAGCTAACAACAGAGGGTTTAGCTGATCCAGACTTACCAGGATAATGAGGTTTTCACTAAATTTATGGGATCTCTCTCTCCATCCTTTATCTTATATCAACAATGTATTTGCATAAATACTTTTACATGAGACACAAGAAAGCAAACTCCATTGAGCAACTAAGAAGCGGATCAAAATTAATTTAAAAAGCCATTTACTCACATTTCATGAAGAAACTGGAGAGAAAATGGATGGGAAATGCTTTGGAACAAGTGCCCAATTTCTAGAGGTGTCAATACTGAAAAGAGCTTACACTTCTACACCATGCCCCCTCCCATTGAGACCCCAAGGTCAGATGGAGAACAAAAATTGTTCAGACACGTATCGTTGGCATAAACATTTGGCTGTCTCACTCTGCATTGGTTTCCTCTTTTTACTCCTTATGCTTCAGCGATCAGAGAAGCCAACGACAGTGAAAACCTCTGCAAGGCATGGGGCAGGTCTGCATGGGGAGATGTTGAGCCGTCTTCTTGATGAATAATGTAAAAAAAAAAAAGCACCTCTTAAAAGAGATTAATGCATCTCTCAGATCTCAGAAGAGAAACACCCTTATACAGCAGATGGTGATTAATACAGAGAACCACAACTGGCCAACGTACAGAGAACAAGAGACTGCAGAGTGTTTAACCCTGACTAGGACACCTGTATCAAACTTCTGCCTCCCAAGGCTCAGGGATCATTGCAAAAGAAGGGGTGGAAATGTGTAAGAGCCAAAGGAGGTGGGTGACCACAAGGAAACACAAGGAATTTTCCACACATAAATTTCCAGTTGGTCAGCTACTCATATGAACTCACAGAAATGGTGACAGCATGTGTTAGAGCACCAAAGAGCCCCATAAATTTAACTTGTCCAGACTATAAAAAATGTGTAGTCTATCTGTTGGAGGACCCACTTTTCCAGTGTCACTGGTCAATTATCTGGTGATAGAACTACTCCCAGGAAGGCAGGTTCACCTTTAGTTATGCTAAATAGATAGGCGGAATACCTGGTGTGTTAATTAAGTAGCAAATATTTCCTGCCTGAAACTAGCTCAGATCCTCCAGAACTTCCAGACCAGCCACAGTCATGTAGGTCTCTGTAAGTCTGTTTGCTTTCCTGAACTCTTCAGGAAAGCGTAATTTCTCCTTTTCTTCTTCATGCCTTTCTTTCTAAACATGTTTTCTTTAAGGCTTTGGGCTGCCCCTAGCATCATGTATTTCTTCATTTTTTCTCTAAAGCTTCCTTCCCCCAGCCATGTGGCTGTGAGTCAGCCATGCATCTGACCTCCATGCAGGCTCTAAACCCACGTTGCTTCTTGATTTCCTTTCCTTCTTCCCACTATTCACCTCCTCAAGGCAGCTGCCAAGATTACCAGCTCGCCTGCCCTGAGGATTTTTCTTTAACAGTCTAATAAAATTGTAAATGCTTCTGTTTGGGTCCATTCTTAAATTCTTTTATGAATGAGATTAAGAACCCTTTAGGGGACCCTCTTTCTCCCTGTTTCCGTGGGCAAATTCTATACAAGATCAAGCCAGACATAAGCCCAGAATAGACATGGAGAAATGGGTGAGAAACCCTAATCCTACCTGAGGATCTGTTGGTAACTTGGGACTGCTGGAAAGGGGAGACTCAGTCACATTTGAGGCTATGTTTCCAGAAGGTCTATTTGTTTTTAAATTTAATTAATTTTTTTTTTAAAAAAAAATATAGGGTGGAAGAGGATCTTAAAAGAGTTTAATTAATGAGATGAAATTGAAACTAATTTTTTGGAGGGAACCAGTTTGCAGAATGGTCTTCATTTGATTCTCTCTGTGCAACCCACACAGTGGAACCAGGAGTGTTTTATTAAGGACAATAAAAGGCAATAAAAGGAGACGTCTGCCTTTCCCTAACAGGACTTGGATGGAGAAGGACCATAATCGTGTTACCACATGAAGATTTGTGGGAAGGACCAGCTGTTGTTCAAGGATGTAAGATGAGTCTTGGAAAACCCTTGTTCACCGGGCCAGGACTCTTATGCAGAGGACCCCAAATACCCACAGTAGGCAGGAATACAGGATCCAACTTCCTCTCTTGTCATCATTTATGTTCTGGCTACTGCATGTTGTTGTTTAGTTGGTGCTGATTACACTATTATAGCTTTATAATGGAACGTGTTACTGCATGAACTTTATCAGAGAATCATATGAAAATGTTCTGCAGAGGAGAAATGAGCCATGGGAAAGTTAAATGAAAATCAGTTCTAAATGACACAAATTAGGGAGAAAATAACAGTTTTTAATAGGGCCATAGATGCTAAATATGCTGCTGAAAAATCTAAATCCTCAGAGAGGTACAATTTCATTCTCCTAGAAATGAGTTCTATTTATTACTTCTTCGCTGGAGACTTGGGTTTTTATAGTTTTGCAAGTTCCAGATTCATATCATAAACTCATTCATTGAGTCAGTATTTTAATATTCATTAAATAAACCTCCACTCACTGCAATGCATCAATTTAATTAAGCACCTTTCAGAGATGCTTTTCCAGCTGCAGCCTGACTTCCTCAGTATACACTTGGAAGCAGGATCTCATGAGGGGTTCAATGGATGTCTTTATTGCATATTAGAGCCTTAGAGATGAAAGGCTAAAATAAATAACCCAAAGGCAGCACCCAGTAATGAACAGAAACAGAAAGAAAAAGAAGGAAGGAAAAAAGGAAGGAAGGAGGGGCGAAGGAAGGAAAAGAAAGAAGAAAGGAAACGTTCACTGCAACAAACCTTGGTTCCAGTAAGAGGCCCGTGATGACCCAGACTGGTTTCTTTAGCCCCAAAGCCTTCACAGTGAACACTGGCTACTCAGTAGAATTTAGAAATCAGTTCAAAGGCCCATTTGAGACCAGAGAGCATGACAAGTCAGAGCCAGGGCCTGTCCCACTGCAATGAACACTATATAGGATGCAGGAATTTGCCTTTGATGGGGTTAGGATCTTCAGTCCCTAATTTAAAGAATTTCTCTCCTAGCCTTTCTAGTCATACTTTCTCCCTTTCCCACTCCTGAGTGTTTCCTTCCCTTTAACTTCCCAAATTATGGGCCTTTTATGACTCAAGTAATAATAACTTTTACTCTTCAACCTGATTTTAAAGTATCACATTATTCAAAGAAATTTTCTTCCCGGTGCCATCACTCTGACTTAGATCTGATTGTGTGGAATGTAGCATATTTAGTGCTGAAGATCTGTCCTGGGGCATCTGGGCCCACACACTGCACAACTGTTCTGACTGTGCTTACCACAGACACCACAATAATCATGTGTGTAAGATATTCTGTCTGAAGTCTTCATCATCACAATCATTTGAGTTAGACAAGGTTCATATGATGGTTAGGCACAGCTGAAAATAACTAAAGTGTGAAGAAGCAAATGGCTGGGCTGGAGCCTGAATGTGAATGTTGGAGA